TTCCCTCTTCTTTTTGTATCCCCTGTGCGTAATATTGTGCCTAGCACATAGTAGGCACTTAATAAATGGTGATTGATTTATATTATTATTATCCCCATTTAGCAGGGGAGGAAACTGAGGCAAAGAGGTGAAGTGACTCCCCCAGGGTCCCACAGCTAGGAAGTGTTTGTGACTAGATTTGAACTTGGGTCTTCGGGCCTGCAGGCCCAGTGCTCTGTGCTCTTTGGCGCCCCTTAGCCCCATGAGGGGTTTGTTTCATCTCTGTTCCCCCTTGCTGTCTGCTGGTCTCTAAGCCAGGGTTTGGGGTACCCTGTTGGCAGATACAAATGAAACAATTTCAAATCCAAATGCAAAACTGGGAGTAGGTGGCCTGGGGAAGTGGGTCAGTGGTTACAGTTTGTAGGCGCATCTCCCTACCCCTCCCCAAGCCAAAGTTCTGCTACTTTGTAGCCCTCCTTCTCGCCTCCTCTGCCCTGTTCCCCAGGGAGACTTCAGCCATGACCTCAACGTCGTTTCTTTGCTTTGCAAAGGTTTCTATCGACCTCACGTGGGAGGGATTTTATTCCAACTTTACTTGGAATCCGGTTCCAGGCACAGTAACTGATGTCGTCACTTATAAATCTCATTCACTGATTCAATTCAACAAAGCTTTCCTGGGCCAGGCACTGGGGAGCCCAAGACCATGGCAGGGAGCCCAGGGCCTGGCACATAGTAGGGCTTAATAAATGCTTCCTGTTTACCGGAAGCCACACTGTGCTATCTGCTGGGCTGATCTAGAAGCTGTTTTGTAATATTGGAGGAAACAGAACCAACAGAGGTCCCATGGATGGAGCCTGTCCTCTGCCCTGGCTGGGCCTTCTAGGGAGGGAGCCGTTGAGGAAGGACAGTGATGCCAGGGAGGGTCTCCAGAGGAGGGAAAGCAGGACAGGGCAGGAGCCTGAACTCTGCCAAATGAGGACAGAATGAGCAATGGGGAAGGTGTGGCCTGCAGGGAAAGAGGAATCAGCCTTCTCTGCTTGGCCTGAGTGCAGAACTGGGAGCTGTGGTGGTGGTGGTAGCGAGGCGGGGTTACAAAGAGCCCGATTTAGGCAGCAGATAAGGGCAAATCTCTGAACAACTAGGGCTCTCGTTCAGTGGGATGGTTGCTTGGGGTGGGGGCGGGGGTGGGGGAGGGTGGCTTTCACTGGCAGGCTTCATGCAGAATTTGGACTGACCCGGTCTTGCTACAGACAAGCTTTTTCATGTGTGAGTTAGAGATGGTCATGAAGCCCCCTTCAACTCCAAATAGAATGGGAAAGATAAGTCACCCGGGACCAATGTCCATTCTTTTACAAATAGTTCCATGGAGACAAGATGAGATGGAGGAGGGGGTAATTGGGAGAAAGGTAGGGAGAGCATGCCCTGTGGAGCCAGAGGGTGGGGAGATGAAGAAGCTGCCTCCTAGTGGCGCCTGAATGACCCCCGGCCTTGATAAGGAGCCCAGAGTCTGATGGGGAGAGAGACTCAGCATTACTTGCAAGGGACACTGAGTCAGAACTCTTTTATGAAGGCACGCTCCTCTGAATCAATGAATAAATAACAAAAAGTATTTACTAGGACCTTACTCTGTGCAAAGGGTAGCTAGATGGCTCAGTGGATAGAGCACTGGCCCTGGAGTCAGGAGGACCTAAGTTCAAATCTGGCCTCAGACACATAACACTTACTAGCTGTGTGACCCTGGGCAAGTCATTTAACCTCTTTTTGCCTTAATTCACTGAAAAAGGGGCTCATTCCCTACTGATTGATAGAGTAACAGCAAGGCCTGATGTGGAGCCTGGACTAGAGAGGGTCTGGGATCTTGGTGACCAAGGCTTCCTTTTCTCTGCAGCCCCTGCAGGAGCAGGGCCCAGGCTGCATCTCCCAGAGTGGTGGGGGGACTTCCTGGGAAGATGGCCGAGGGCACTGGGCTGGAATCCTGGTTCTTCCCAAGGCTCTCGGGCTCGGGGTCCTGGGCTGTCTCCATCGGGGTCTGAGGGGAGCTGGGGGTCCAGAGGATGCAGGGCACTGACCTGCCCTGAATGTGCTGCCTGCTGTCTCTCTCTGAGGTGGGGGGCAGGGCACAGGTCTTGCTGCTAGGCTGGCCTACCTGCTTGGTGGAAGTTGCTTCCCCTGGCCAAGGACTGGGGGGAGGGGTGTCATGCTGCCACTCCCAGGGCTCCAGTGTCTATCTGTCTATGGGAGGTGCTCAGCAGTGGTTGCTGCCCCTTCTCCATGACGGTGTCTCCTCTCAGTGTCTCCCCAAACCAACTCTGGGTTAACCACACACCTATGGACTTCTCCAGTCACTGCTAAATGGACAGGGTCACGTACCAGACTAATGGGGCACGTTCAGAAGCTCCGCTTGCCCCGCATTCTGAGGTGAGCATAGGGAATGCCGTAGCTGTCTCTGGGGTAGGCCACAAGCGGGTGAGCCCCACAAGGAGGGGGGCTCGCCCAACGGGGTCCAAGTCCCATCGCTTCGGCCCGCTCATGGCCCCTCTGCCCGTGGGGCCTTTCTGCCTTTGCTGGCGGTGTTTTTTTTGTTCCTCGGAGTCAGTCCACGTGGTTCAGTGGCTCGGACTGCTGCTGCCCCCCACCTCACATCACAAAGCCCTTGCTGACTTTCTGGGTGTTCTCCAAGCTTGTCCTTTCTCAACTTGCTAGTATCTCATGACACCCCTCTAAGTGGCTAAGGCAGTGGGGTGAGCACTGCCCTAGGGTTTGGAATCCTTATTAGTACAGTACAAAGTCACTTAACCTCACCCAGCCTCAGTTTCCTTGTTTGTAGCAAGCAAGCAAGCCACAAGTGTTTGCTAAGCACTTAGTATATGCTGGGCACTGTTGTAAAATCCAGGGATATAAGAAAAGTAAAAACTGTCAACCACTTATGAAGCACCTACTATGTGCCGGGCACTGTAGTAAGCACTAGGGACACAAAGAAAGGTATAAGGCAGTCTTTGCTCTGGAGGAGCCCCCAGCCTGATGGTGGACACAACACACAAACAACTATGTGCAAGCTATATATAGGATAAGTAGAATCAACAGAGGAGAGAAAGGCAAGAGAACTGAGGGGTTAGGGAAGGCTTCCTGTAGAAGGTGGGATTTTAGCTGGGACTTGAAGCCAGGAGACAGAGATGAGGAAGAAGAGCATTCCAGGCCCGGGGGATGGCCAGGGCTGAAAAATGGAGGGTCTTGTTTGTGGAACAATTAGGAGGCCAGTGTTACTGGACTGGAGTACCCAGTGGAGACTAAGGTGTAAAGACTGGAAAGATAGGAAGGGTTTTGGAATGCCCAACAGAGCATTTGGTATTTGCTCCTGGAAGCAATAGGGAGCCACTGGAGTTTACTGAGTAGGGGTCTGACATGGTTAGGCCTGTGTTTTAGGACGCACTTTAGCGGTTGAATGGAGGGTGGACTAGAGTGGGGAGAGAGTCTAGGCAGGCAGATTCACCAGCAGCTACTGAACTAGCCCAAGCCTGAGGTAGTGAGGGCCTGTACCAGGGCAGGGGCAGAGGAGACAAGGGGGTGCACTGGAGAAATGCTGCAGAGATGAAATCTATGAGAGATGTTGTAGAAGTGAAGGTGACAAGAGATAATGTAAAGGTGAAGTCGGAGAGATGCTGCAGAGGTGAGAGTGATAAAAGATGGTGCAGATGGGTGCTAGAGATGTTGTAAAGGTGAAAGTGACAAGAGATGGTGCAAAGCTGAAATCTGAAAGATG